CACTAGAAAATAAAAACTGTAGTGTCTTTTAGACAAAACACTTCTTCCCCCCTCCCCTTCCCATAAATATATCTATGGCTTGATTATGGTGGTTGTAAATTCCTACTGGGCCAGACTATTCCACAGCGACTGCTACTGTGCCTCTTGCATCTTGTTCTGAATAAGGTGGGATCAGCCTGCAATAGAAGCCAGGCACAGTGATGCAATAGGGTCCTGGGTTGATCTAGAGTTTCACACTTACTACAACTGTTTGGATGGAGAAAAGAGACTGGAAAAATGAAAGAAACATAAGGAGAGAAAAGTGTATCTTTTGAGTCTTGAAGAAGAGTATCAAATCAACTGAGATAAAATAAATTAAGAACTCTTTCCTCCTTAACTGTTGATAGGAGATCAGTTGAGTAAGGGATATTTTAGGTAAAAGAGGTGGAGCTGAAGCAATTACTGCCTAATTATATGTGGGAGAACTGCCAGGGAATGGGTTGTGTGATGAAAAAAAAAAAGGCAAAAACACGAGAGGAAAGATTTGGGCAGGGTAGGACAGAATATGAGTAGACAGCAAGCACTTGATACAGGAAAAGAAGCAAACTACTTGAAAAGCACCAAAATGTATGTGCAAGTAGCAGAAGGAGGCTCAAGGAGCTGATGAAGGGAGCAGTATGGAAGAAAAAAAAACTGAAAAGGGTAATCTAGATCAAGGCACCAAACACTGTTGTCAGCTGTGAGTTTACCTTGAAATTAAAGCTCTCACCCAGGAGAGGCTAAGACACTGGGTTTGAAGCAGAGCAGGCTGTGGGGCGGGAGCTTACGGCTGTCATCAGCCACCTATTGGGAGGATATGATGAAGGTGTAGGCACGAGGTGGCAGAACATGAGATAACAGACACAAGCTGTAATAACCTCTTACTACACGTTACTAAAACCTTCTTCTGCATAGGAAAAAGTAATTTCACCATGGGTGTTGTCAAATAGTGGAACAGTTGCCCAGGGACATTGTGTAATCTTCATCTTCAGTAATAACTAAAACTAGAGTAGAACAGGCCTTGAGTGACCTAACCCAATTTGGTCCTGCTTTGAGCATGGGGTTGGAGCAGATGACTTTCACAAGTCTCTGCAACGTAAATTATCCTGTGCTTTTAAAGGAAGCATCCTTTAAGTGATTAAAATTTAAGAAGACCTTATTGTGATCTTTTTTCCCTTTGCTACCAGTATGTGCATATTTTTAGCAGACCATCTAATCTTTTATTTTAACATAAATCTTAACATTCTTTTAGCCTCACACACTGAAAAAGGTTTATCCAAGATGATGAGAAAGGACATTTTTTAGTAACACAAAAATAATCATGCAATATTCTTCCCAAATGAGACCTCCAACAGCTCCGTGCACAGTTGCTTGCTCCTGTAGTTATCAGTAATACAGATGTGATTCGTTCTGCAATCAGAAGGGACTGCATATACTAAAGGACATGGGCAATTTTATGGAATCCTTACATCAACTACAGAAGACAGGCAGACCTTTTGCTTGCTAAGTACTCTTAAAAACAAATATCCAGAGAAAGAAGAGAGGAGAAGCAGCCATGTGGATGGCTAACCTTGGTAAACACCCAAATGCCCACCCTCTAACTCTTTCTCCTCAGCAAGACATAGGGAGAAAATTGGATAAGAAAACTTGTGGGCAGAGGTAAAGAAGTTATAAAGACAGGGAACTTGTTTACCAATTACTGTCACAGGCAAGACAGACTTGGCTTGGGGAAATTTAATTTATTGCTGATTAACATAGATTTGGGTAATGAGAAAACAAAAACAAACATTAAACCAACACCTATCCTCCTCCCTCTCCCAAGTTCAGCTTAAAGCTTTCCACTCCAAACTTGTTACCTCCTCTTTCTGGCTGGTATTTTCTGCCTCTGGTTAAGTATGTTTGTACAGAGGTGCCACACACATGGCTAATCAGCTCAGCTCTATCCAGAGCTCTGTCCTTCTTTATTTGGAAGTTAGCTTAGTACTATATCAGGCAGTCATTCCTCTTCTATTTTTTTCTATATTGTCATTTAAAAATATTTTTTAAAATGTCCCCATCATAAATTCTAAATACTATTTTCAAAAGCACCTGGTAATCTAAATCCTATATGATTTTGCATGGCAAGGCACCCTGTGTGCATACATCTACAGAAAGAAAAGGAACTAAGGTCCCAAGCTTCTTTTTTCCTCTGTAAACTGCCATTCTCTTTTTTGACTGTTCAGCATGACAAGTCTAATTAGATTAAGTGAAAAGTGAATCCCACACAGATTGCACCCACATCACCCAAAGGGCTTGCTAAAGGTTGCTGTTTCACTCTTCTATTTAGCTGGAGAAATCTGCCATATAGTAACACAGAGCAGGCAGTCTTATAAAAATAAGGAAAGAAAGTACCTTAAATCATGATAGGGGGCAGGGGGAAAAGAAGGGCTTTCTATCTATCTGCTTAGAATGGCTCTTGGCAGATTTGTTGCTCTAAATAAAGAGATAACAGCTGGTCCAGGAAGGACTCCACAGGCTTGCATATGGTGAGGGGGAAGGCAATGCCCACACACTCTTCTTTCTACCAAAATGTAAGAAGGAAACTTGCTTCTCCTTCTTATCCTTGGTTGATTCTTCAGTCTTATTAAGAACACCTCTCTGCATTATAATCAGTAGAAATCTACCCCTGAGCTATTGTTTTTGTTGTGCTTTCCTCTAGAACACTGCGGTGGCTCTGTATCAGGGTGGACATCTGTTCTTAGGGAAGGAGAACACAAGAATAGAGGAGAAGGGCTGGAGAGGACTCCACACAGAGGAACACCAAGCAAGGGAACACGAGCCGAGTGTGGCTTCATTCAGACAGGACAGCAACATGTTGTTAGCAGGAGAAGAGACTGGGAATGATGATCAAGCCAGAGGAGTTTACAAGAAACATGAGGAGGAAAGAATACCCTTTAACATTATGATTCATATTTGATTGTCATTGGCTGCTCTAGGCTGCTCATGGAATCTCGGGAACTAAATTATAGCAACTGACTTTTGTAGCTTGATAGACTGTCATTATTTCAGTTATTCCTTATAATATTAACCATTTTCACCTGTCTCCAGCTTCTGTGACAAGGAAGCTGCAAGGAAGTATCAGCTTTCACTGAATACTATGGAAAACAGAAGAGATTTTTTAAAAAAATCCTTGTTTTTATTTGGCAAGCCAAATTTCTTTCATTATTTTTTTTTTTTTTTTTACTGCTTAAGACTACTATTTGAAACTAAATTATTGACTGGCAGTTTATTTAGACTGTAAACTAGTCATGCTACCGATGCACACAACAAATTTAGTGCCATACAGAGCTGCTCTGTCAGAGCTTACTGTCTCTGAAGCAGCACTAAATGAATGTAGTTACATTTCTCTCAGAATGAGCAGGATAAAAAGGCACACATATTTTAATTATTCTCAAAGTTTAAACAAGTGAAAAGCACTTACCAATTTTAATTGCGTTTTAAGTTTCCAGTACAATGACCTGTATTTTAATAAAGCTACTTTGCATGACCCAAATCACTTCATGAAGCAGGAATTTAAGGTAATATTGACAACATTAATTAGTCATTGCATTTGCACACTGGTGTTAACCAGAGTATTTGTACATTCCGTGTCCAAGTTGAACTATTGTTTGAATAAATCCAACTTTTAAATTTTGTCTGCAGCCAAAACTGTGTTCCACGTGACATTTATCTTTTAGAGTACTAAGTGTAGCGCAGCAACATTTTAAACTGCTGAGAGATTTTGAGTAGATGTGTGTTAAAACAAAGGAAGCACCAGAAGAACATCACACACAAATTACACAACCAACATAAGCAGTTTGCTCTAATAGACTGTCCTAACCTTAAGATAGAAACACAGTCATGACATTAGACTGGGTGCTCAGGCTTGGCCAGATTTTAGCCCAATATCACTTCTGACTGACACGTAATGTACTCTACTTCCTCTGATAAACATATCACAGAAATACAGAGAGTACATTATTCGTAATGATGATACCATTGTGACTGCTTTTTCTAGTCAGAACAATCTCACAGAGCCACATTTTCCCTCTCCCATGACCAGGCTGCTGCCCTTTCCCCTTTTTTTATTTTGTTACTATACACAAGCAAAAAGTCTCGAAATAACTAGGACAGAGAGTGTATTAGCTCTGGGCTCAGCTCTCCTCCATGTGGCATCTTCCTTCTAACACTGCTGTCTTTTGGTAAAGAAGTGGAATTACGGTAGGTCTGGTTAGTGACAGCTCCGGCTAGATCTGTGTAAGTACCCTCAGAGGCTGTCTCTGGTGGCAGTTGTAACTAAGGCCTGAGTGGGAGCTTCCAACCATATTCTTAGCAGCAAGCAGTGATATCCTGGTTTTGGCCAGGACAAGGACAATCTCTTGCATTAGCTGGGAGTGGGCATGGCTGTGGGGGTGTAACCAGGAACAGATGTTATTCTACACCACCCTTATCATTGACAGGGGTGGAGGGAAGGCACTCACACTTCCAGCAAAAGGGCATTCCTTTCTGTTGGGAGAAAACCTTTCTGTGTTGGAAAGAACCTATGTGATCAGTATTTGTTTATTGTCACTTCCTATTTAAATCATCTGTCATACACCTTTTGTTGTTAATATTGTTGTTGTAATGTTCATTTTATTATCTCATTGCTGTTTCCAGTAAACTGCTCCTATCGTAACTGATGATCTTTGTCTTTTGTGCTTCCAACTGGAGGGGGAGCAAGTGGCAGCATGGTTTTAGTGGCAATACCAAACTAGAGAACACCATTCCTAAACCAGGAAAAATGGTCACTCCAACTCCAGTCTGAGGAGCTAAATGTGTGAAAGAAGGCTGCTACAAGGCGATCTCTGTGAAAAATTATTTACTCTCCCAGCTCTGTGAAATTTTGGCTAGGGCCAAATATTGCTGACACAGAGAACCAATGAAAAAATGGCTGCCTGAGGGGAAGAGGAAAAAAGTTCTCTCACCTTGGCAGGCTCGTTCATCATCCACAGGCTGGTAGCCAGCCTTGCAGGTACATCGTCCAATGGCCACCATCCACTCCCCTTCTCCATTGCAGTGCAGCCGAACACTCGAGGACCCCGTCGTGCTCGTCTCTTCAGCGTTGGGTACACATGTCCCTGGGGACTCCACCAGTGAGGTCCTCTCCCCGCCAGCAAACGTTTCAGGAAAGGAGGCAAACCCTTTCACCACAGCTGGGCACTTGTAGAAAAAGACTTGGACTGCCACCAAGGACATGCAGGCTCCCGAATCCTGGAAGGCCAGGTAGAAGCCATGCTTGGTGAGTGGCCCAAAGCTACGTACTTTAACATTCATCTTGACCACCTTCCCGGTGCTGTCCACCTGGGAAAAGCTTTCATCAGCTGCAATAGTATCCACTTTGGTCCAGGGGCCCTCACGCCACTCCGGCATGTCCTGAGAGGCAATGTCAGTGTCCGACTGGTGGTAGTAGAGTGTGAAAGTCTCCTTGCAGGAGGAGGCCACGGTGCGCATGCTGGCGCAGTCCCTCACGGAGAAGCGGAGCCGGACGTGGACGCGGTGGGCCCCGCGCCGCTCTATGAAGTGAGTGCGCAGCCAGTTATTCTGACCTGGTTCAGCCACGTTGCACACTTGAAAGGTTCGGATCAGGCGCTTCTTGTCATCCAGGACACTTACCTCATCCCACTACAATGGATATAGAGGAGAAAAAAGAAACAGAAATAAAAAATGGATTCAGTATTCAACTGCACCAAAAATACAGGACAGGCCTTTGTCTTCCCCCTCTCCTTGCCATGTCTATGACGAGATTTGAACTTGTTTATGCTATGTACAGCAGAGCCTTCTAGACAGAGTGTGACCCTGTAAAGAAGAGCAGTCAAACCTCTGAAGTAAGAATTGTTGTGACAGAAAACATAAATCATGCAAACTTGGCCACACAACGTTGAGAATCTTAAAATGCGAGAGTCATACTTCTTCCTTCCTATCTTCCCATCTCTTGTCTCCAGAGACAAAACAAATGATACAAACAAATGAAACAGAGCAAGAGACACTGTTCTCTGGAGAACACATTAAAGCATAAGTCCCTTCTACCTAGCTTTACCATAGTGAGAGCTGTGTTCTGACATTTCTTATCACCACGGCCACTACAGGGGCAGGTCCAGATTGGGTTTGTGCCTGCAGGAAGGCACAAGGGAGGGATAAGGAGGGGTGGAAGCAGGTTCCTGTACAAAGCTGTATGACAAAACCCTCCTAACCCTCTCAAAAAGCTTTACATAATAGGTACAAGGCCCTGGTTATGACAGAGGACGCGCATAGGTGAGATAGAAGAGATGGAACCTGCTCAAGCATTCTCATGCAAGTCTGACCAACCACCTTCTCACAATAAGATCTGTACTAAGACCATTTGCCAAGAAGAAACAACAGCAAGCTATGGTCATTAGTGACTCCCTCCTGTGTGAAACAGAAGCACCCTTTTACTGATCAGAACATCTTTTCAGGCAAGTGCTGTCTCCCTGGGCCCAGTTTAGCAATGTCACCAGATAATGGAAGAGCTCAGTACAGCCTTCAGACTACTATCCACACCTGCTTTTTCACATGGGTAAAAATGATGTCCCAACAAAAAGTGAAAAGTTGATCAAGAGTTTTCAGGGCCCTGCATGAAATGTTAAAAAAATCTGGAGCGAGCATGGGTAGTGTTTTTCTCAATCTTTTCAGTAGCAGTAAGGCACATTTGAAAGAAACAAATGATGCTGAGACACCAATACTGGCTTCAGGACTGGTGCCTCTGCCAAAATGCTTGGGTTCGTAACCACTGAAGAATCTCTGAGACATAGGGTGTGTTGGGACATGACAGGATCCAGCGTTCTGATGAAAGAAATGCATCTTTGTTCATAAACTGGAGGAACTGATTGGGAGATTTAATCTATAATTGATGAAAGAAGGGCATACCACCAGGAGAGCTGAAGATAAACCAACGGCTGGCATGGCCTAGACTTAGGACGGCACTGCCAGCTGGGATCATGTATGCTGCTCCTGGGAGCATGGAGAGCTCAGGAGCACAACTGAAATATTGTTTGTTTACCATGGGAGCATTGGGCAATCATTCATGGCACAAAACTTAACTAGAACAAGTGCCAGATCTTGCACCTGGGATGGAGTAAGTGCAGGCACAAGTACAAACTGTGACAGGAGTGTCTGGCAGGGAGGGCCCTGGGGGTGCTGGGGGCAGCAGCAGCTCAGTGAGAGCCAGCAGGGCATAGCCCAGAGGGCAGGAACCATGTCCTGGGGGCATCAAACACAGAGCACAGCCGGGCACAGGGGGATCATCCATCACCCGCTGTGCTCAGCGCTGCTGCGGCCTCACCCGCAGTGCAGGGGGCAGCTCTGGGCACTGCCACTCCAGAGGGGTGGGAAAGTCTCTGAATGTGTGCAGAGAGGGGAAACAAAGCTGGAGAAGGGGCTGGAAGGTGTGTCCTGGGAGGAGTGGCTGAGGGATCTGGGTTTGTCCAGTGTGGAGAAAAGAGAGGCTGAGGGGTGACCCCCTTGCTCTGCAGCTCCCTGAGGAGGGGAACTGGAGAGGGAAGTGCTGATTCCTTCTCCTTGATCCATGATAGGATGCATGGGAATGGTTCAAATCTGCCTCAGGGGAAGCTCAAAATTGACATCAGGAAACATTTCTTTACCTAGAGGGTGGTCAGAGACTAGAACAGGCTTCCTAGAGATGTGGTCAATATCCCAAGACTGTCAGTGTTTAAGAGACATTTGACAGTGCCCTTTGTAACATTTATACTTCAACTTTTGGTCAGCCCTTAAGTAGTTAGGCAGTTGGACTAGTGATTGTTGTAGGTACCTTCCAACTGAAATAGTCTATTCTATTCTATTCTATTCTATTCTATTCTATTCTATTCTATTCTATTCTATTCTATTCTATTCTATTCTATTCTGAGGGGTGGCTGGAGAACTCTTTAGTATTTCTGGAGCAGAGGTGAAGGAATAGGATAAGGATGTGGCAATAGCATCCTACTTAGCACCCTTCTCTCTTAACAATCTGGCTTTGCAAAACTCACTGTGTTCAAATTCTTCATATGGACAAAACCTATAAACCAAGTCTCACAGTTTCCCTTTCTTCATCAGATGCATGCATGTCTTCCCAGCAGACAGGGAGTTGAGAGGAGGGACAAGGGAAATGCTTACCCCATCAGAAGGATGTGCAGTCCAGCCAATCTCTGAGGTCTCTTGAGTCGTATCCAGAAGTATTTCTGTTTGTATTTAAAAAAATTAAATAAAAAAAGTATTCTGTGCTATTCCAAGTCAGACTAAAATCTTATCTGTTCCTCTCAAGATTTTCTTGTGGAGGACTTCCATACACCAAAAATAAACATTCATGTTTTGAGACTAAATATTACAGGTTATGTCCATACTAATAAATTAAGAAAGGCCAAGACAAAGGCAGAGGCAATAGGCATATAATCGTGCTAACTCATGATTCTCAAGTGGCTTGGCAATATTCTCAGACTTTCCCAGGCAAAGTATAAGCACACTGACAGCATGGTGCAGAGTTATCATAATGAGCAGTTCAGATGAGGCCTCACTCTTTTTGGAAAGGAAAAAAGGAAAAGGTGGGACACAAGATGAGCTACATGAATGCATGCCAGTCTCATTAGGACTATGGTTGCCCATTGCATCTGCACATGCAAGTGTGGACACAAGGCCAAAACATGTTTGTTCCCAGCTCTGGAACCAAATTTCTTTGGGAGTTTATGACCCAGCTGATCCTGTAATGGATTAATTTGTTCTGGAACTGGGAATTACATTGCAGGCCTGTATAGGAATCCCAGTATTAAATAATCTGTTGCATTATTACACTGCTCAAGAGTAGGGTACATGCAGAACTTCACAGGGCTAGTTTATTCCCAAAACTAGTCTGCATTTCCATTGTTATTGAATCTACCACTGCGACAGATCAGATGCCAGCCTTGACTGCTCTTGGGCAATTATTCACTGCTTGGGTACAAAGAAACACAAAAGAGATTTTGACAGTCCAAACTATAAACAAAGTATTCTCCAAAAGAGAATGTCAGGGTCTGAGACCACTGTGGTATGCAAGCATGTGCTCTTCACTCTGTATACTTAGGACACAGAATAAGAAAATGACTCAGGTGAATAGGTTATTTACATGTGTTGATATATACTGTATAAATCAATTGGCTTTTCCTAAATTCTGGGGAGCTTTATTTGCTTATTTTGATTTTCATATTTCTATCTCATTACTTTAAAAAAAACCTGCAAAAAACAGATTAAAAAATCCAACCCAAAACCTAACAGCCAGCTTACAAATAAGGTTCATGATCCATTAATAAACCTTGCAAAGGTTTAGTAATATGATTGTTCCATGTTTTATGCAGGAGAGAGATCCTCAATGTTTTCTATTTCCAGTTATGAATTGCATATGTCACTATCCCTATCAATACACCTGGGGATTCACTCCATATCAATCACTGGAAAGGAAAGACTCATCCTAATGAAGACATGATCAAGTGAGCAAGTTTATACAGACCTCAGCCTTCACCAATGTCCTTGAACTATATTCCCTATATTCCTACAGGACATTTTATACTTTTTAGACCTCCCTGAGGATGCAGCTCCTTGATTCAAAAGCAGTGCAAAATACGAGGCCTGGCTTGCCAAAACTGGAAAGAACTACTGGTTACAGCTGAAGCACAATCCCACTAAAATTATGTAACAGACCTCAGGAAATGCTGAGCTGCTCCATTCTCAAGGATAGCTCAGCTCCAACAGTCCCTCTGAGCAGCAGAACATCTGCAAAAGGCCTATGCCTCCCTGAGGCACAGTCTTCCCTGGGCTGCCCTAGCAGCAGAGGAACTTGGCATTCCCCCATGCCCATTACCTTCTCAATTGCACAGTCTGGCACAGGGATTGCACAGTGTCTTGTCATTACTTTGCCACTGGGATCCCAGACATATGCTGAAATAATACACAAGGCCATTTTTCAACACAGAAAGAACTTTTTTCTAATCAGATCTGAGTCTCCCGTTTACTAAAGTACAATGCTTCTACCCCTTGGAAACTCTAGAAGTAAAATAGAGAAAAGTTAATCAGGGCATGGAAAGCCATAAAGAAAGTGAGAAAGAAACAGAGAAGAAAGGAAATGGAGAAGAATTGCTCAGTAGCCCTTGCTCTGCCATGTCAAGCAGATTCCCCAGACAACTTCTCACCAGTGAGCAAGGCAGTATTTACCAAGCACGTGAGTATTTTACAAGCAAACAGAAATAGGCAGCCTGAAGCAGACAGAACTGCCCCTTTCACAGTGAATACTTTAAGTCAGAAACCACTAGAAAAATAAGAAAAGTACACAAGAATTTTGTGTGCATAAATCTCATTTCGCAACCTACGGCCAGAAGTCCCTCACTATTTTTGTTCTTCCTCCCTTTCCTACTGGCTCTGTGCCTGGAATCACATCCCCAGTCACACTAGCTGCATGCACACTCATAAATCTAACAAGCTGTTAAACTGCTCTCTAGCTCTGAGGACAACAGGCACAGTATGGTTCATGTTCCCATGGCTAAAAATTCCAACCCCACAGAAGTGCACAGCTGCATCCAAACCACCTCCCAGGAAAGGTCCTCAGTCCATCCAAACCCCTGTTTGTGATAAGATTATTTGGCATGGGCCAAACAAACCCATGGCTGCGCTCATAATTTAACAGTATGAATGACTACATGTGTACAGGTATAAGCCTTCACTCTGACACTTTATTAGCACTGATGACTGAGCAGCACTTCACATCCTCACTGGGCTGGGCCACACCAGTATTCTGCTCCTCTTCAGTGCCAACAGAAATTATCTGTTCAGCTGAATTTATCACCTTAGAAGAAAAATGACTTATACCCTTTCAATATTGCTCAAAATCAAGGGTCTTGCAACATCAGGTTAGACTCAGTCTCAGTCTAGCCCATGATGCTGCTAGGGGCAACACTGATTCAGGTATCTCAGGGTATCATTGGAGCAATATTCTACTCTGCATTAAAAATGAGGAACAGGCAAGGTATCTGAGCAACCTAGAGGCTTTGAAACATGTGAAATTATGATAATTCTACAATTCTTTTTCTACTCCTGATTTAATCTCAGTTTTGAATAATGATATTCCGATTGCATATTACAACTGTTATTTTACTTCAAGGATGATAAAAACAACTAATAAGAGATTCTCCTACATTTCTCTTCCCTAAACTAAAAAAAAAAAAAAAAAACCAAAAAAACATCACTTTTTATAGAAGAGTCAGAGTCAAACGGGTTCATTACACTGCAAAATCTAAACTCTCATTTGAGCATTCTCAGTTCTTGCCAGCCAGAAAGGTGAAATAAAAATCTCAAATCCTTCAGCTCATACTATTCTGTATCTACACCACAAACCAATCTCTTGGGCTACATTATGCTATAATGTCAACATCCAGAAAAACTGGGCAGAGACTGGAAGCTATTGCAGATCAGGCTTTCAGAATAGGCACATTAATAATTTTTACATTTTGGTCTGCCTGTACTTTCAAGCAAGACTATTAAGCACTTGTGTTACAGACAAAATGATCCCTTGATGCAAGAGGATGACAATTCACCCAAGGATGACTGACCCTTAGACAACCTTCATGGAGTCAGAGATGGCCTAACAGCTTTCTGGACTGAAGAATATTTGCCCCTGGTGTCTTAACAGTGCAGTGGTGCAAGAGGGAATTATACAACCAAAGCCTTGCAAACTACAGCCACAGACAGGTGAGTCGATCCTGAGAAGAGAGTAAAAGAATCCCTTTACCTGTGTGATGAGAATCTGCTACTAAAACTGTAGAATCACAGAATGAAACAAGCTAGAAGGGAGGTACAGAGGCCATCTTAACCAACACCCCCCCCCCCCGCTCAAGGCCAGGCTAAATTACAGTAGGCTGCTCCAAACCTTGTCCAATTGAATTCTGAATATATCCAAATGTACGCTGATAGAAGGCAAAGGGCACTATGGTAAAAGGTAACAGTCAGAGAGTTTGCTTTGCTATGGAGTGAATGCCTCAAGCAGCAAAACTTGCTTGCTTAACAGATTTGAAAAGAACTGAAACATTTCTGAGCTTATTCTGCCTTCCATGATCATTCCTTGAGAAAGTAGGAAGTGTGTGAATGCTCTCTAAGAAGGCTGGGAAGAGAAAGCATTCCCTGGGCTTATGCAAAAATAGTGTTAGGAGCTGTCAAATCCAGTAACCTCACAGAAGCCAGGCTGCTGCAGCTCCATGGCCCCAGGCACAAGCAATAGCAGGGTTAGGTGGGTATTCCCAACAGGCACACACACAAACACATGCAGGCACTGCACATCTATGAATGGCCAGCCACAAAGATCAACACACGCAGAAGCACTCACCAGTCATGCAAACAGAAACAGCACCACCAATGGCCTCATCCTGCTTCCCCTTCTGGTTGGTCAAGATTCAGGTCTGCTAGTGTGAAATATATATGCATTTGTATACAGTGTGGATCTCTGCAATAACTGTCCTTAAAGATTTAGCCTCCTGACCTCTGGATCTGTGGTCTCTCCACCTGCTGCTACCTGAAGCTCACCTGAAGCCTCACTCCTGGTGTGAGCAGCCAGACAAGCTCACTCACTGTCTGTACACCCCTTCACACACACACAGAGGCATGCTACAGATTCCCTGCTAAATGGCTTTAAGGGTGCAGCCTACCCAGCAGCTAGCCCTGGCTGCTTGCTCTCCTGAACTGCTGTTCTGTGGATCTCTCCATGAAGTGGTCTTTGACACTCTGCCTACCCAGGAGCTGCCCTGGGATCATCTTGTCTCTGGGTACACTGAGATACACAACACATACACAGTACTCTCAAAGAACCCCTGGAACTTATGGTGACCAGAATACCTGACCTGGACCTCCTCATAGTTCTTCCTTCCCTGGATAAACCCCTCTGTTTGTCTCACTCATAGAGACACACACATTTAAACTGGTGTCTCACTCCTCCTCCAGACTCCGCTCTTTCCCTGCTTTCCCATCCCACTAACTCCACCACCAAGCTAGTCTGGCTTGCTGTAGAGATCACAAACTCACTAATTCAAGCTCACTCACTCCAGCTGCTTGCTGCTTGCATCACAGATCCTGTGACCTGCGGTCCATCTTGAGTTCCTAGCACTTGATTTTCATCCATTCCATGATCTTCAGCCGCTGGTAGCGCTGACTCATGGGCCACTCTGACCCG